CTGGCTGTAGAATTCTGGGAGTTGAAGTCCACAAGTCTAAAAAGTGCCTCACCAGCCCTAAAGCTGACCGCACGTCACTGCATGGATGCCTCAGATTCTGATTCTTCTCCCCTGCATTTTGTTTGGCTTCTCCTTTCTCCTGCTCCTTGCCATCATCATTTCCACAGGTCCCAACCAGTTTTCTGCCTTCTATGCTTCATCCCTACTGCTGCTGGTTTTGGTGGCTAATTTCAGGTCCTCCTCCCCCTGCTCTGTTGTCACATCTCCATCCTGCCTCTATCTTATTAAATCCTGCTAGCCCTGTCATGCTGTGGTGCTTTTTCTCCCAGCTGCATCACCCTTGGTGCATTGGCATTAACAAAATTATGTACCAAGAAATCGTATTCTTCTTAAAAGAAGAGCCCTCAACTTGCAGACAAAATGGAGTCAGCTGGGAGGCCCAATATAACCAAGAGGTTTCTCCCTCAGAGCCAGTTTCTCTACAGTCATTGCCCCGCTTCTCATCTTGCCTTAAAATAGGAAGTAATCTTTATCTCTGATGAGAAGCTACTCAGGATAAAGGTCTTTTTCCTCAAAAAAAATACAAAAACCAAAAACCCTTCAGTAAGGCTTCCAGAAGTATTGTTAAGGGAAGTCTAAAAGAAAGCTACTATTGAAGAGGAATGAGCCTTCTCCACTCAATTTTATGTCTTTCTTTTTTTAAAAAAAGTTTTTCCGCACAGATACCATGTTTTCCCAAAAATAAGACAGGGTCTTATTTTCTTTTGACCCCCCCCCAAATAAGTGCTTGGCCTTATTTTCGGGGAGGCCCTATTATTTTTAAGGTGCCGGAGGTGGTGAGGATGGCCACCTCATGGCTGTTGCTGTGTTGCAATATTTCAGGGGAGGGCTTATTTTAGCGCATGTGCTCAAACACATGATTGGGCTTATTATCTGGGGAGATCTTATTTTGGGGTTAGGGTTAGGGTAGCAAAAGAGCTCCCTTTGGCATCAGTGGAGACTCTTAGAAAGCCACATTGCCAGACAGAGGGGAGAGGTCTTTTGAGGAGGGGGTGCTGCAAGGACGGAAGACTTGTAGCAGAACTATTTTACTATAAGTTTGTTTGGTTTTAGTGGAAAATAGCTGTGCTGCTAGATATCATCTCAGGAGTTCTAGTTTTGATACACCGATGTCCTTAAAGCTAAATGAAAAGGATAGTGGAGGTTTAATTTTACATTTTTTTTCTTTGTGAATGTTTTTAGGTTTACAATAATCTGAGACATCCAGATGATAAAGAGTGGAATCATGTTTCCATGTGCATCGTAAATGGTGGAGGAATACGGTCACCTATTGATGAAAAAGCCAATAATGGTATGCGTAATTTCCAGAGTTTTTACACCACGCCTCTTAATTTTTGCTTCGTTTTATATCAGTATTTAAGGTTTGACTTGTATCCACTCTATTCAACTTACTGTCATAGTTTTCTAAAAATTTCCAGGCATTGTAACTTCAACTCTCGACTTCATCCTGTTTGAACATCCTGTTCAAACAGGATGAAGTGTAGAGCCAAGGTGGCGCAGTGGTTAAATGCAGCACTGCANCTCTTTTTTGAGGGGAAAAGGTGCGTCTTATACTCCGAAAAATGCGGTAATTGTGCAATCCTTTCAAAACTAAATTTGAGATTATTTCTGAGTTTTCATTTCTGTTGCATTCTCTTTGTGGTGGTTAAATATCAATCCCACCGTAATGCTATGTAGTAAAAAAATAAAGATTTCCCCCATATTTATATGTAGTACTTTAGAAAGCAAGAAAGTGCTTTGGAGAATAAGGGAGATGCAGATACAGTTCCTGTCTGCAGCGCCTTAATCCAGCTGGGTTTTCACATAGAAGTCAATCACCTAGCACAAATCTCATAGGAGTTGCAGATGGCCATCACACAGTCTCGGTGAGGCATTGCGGGACCCCGGTCTCAACTGTGTTACTCTTATAATCACAACTTTTGTTTTAGATCCAGCTGTGAAAGCAGAAGTCGACAAAATGAAGATTCAGCTACAGCATTATTCTTCGCGAGAAATAGGGAAAACAATTGTTTACCTAAATGGAACGACACAAGCCTGCCGCTTTCAGGAGTGCAACTTAGGAAATTTAATTTGTGATGCTGTGGTAAGGAACCAATAAATTGGAATGCAAATTCCAATTTATTCTGTACTGGATGACCTGAAATATAGTTAAAGGTACATTGCTTGCTGTGGGAGGTACACACCCTTAACATTGAAATCAGAGAACTTCCATTGTCTCAGAAAGACTATTAAAGTATAGAATTAATCTTGAAGTTTTATTTATGCACAGCTAAAGCTGGAATGTATCCAGATAACCTTAGTAAACCTTAGTTAAGATTGAATCTAAATCTTATTTTGCCCAACATTTGCCAGCAGCTGCAGGGTGATGATAGATCAGTTACATAGGCCTTGGCTTAGAAAGCCCTAATAGCTTAGCAAAGCTTCTACCATGACTGATTTTAGTTCCCTATCTACCTTCCAAGCCCTGCCTCTTTCTTCTTGTCTTGCTTTATCTATATCATGGATGCAGGGACGTGAAGTCACTAGAGGCAAGGGAGGCGTGGCCTCACCAGTCATGAGGAAAAGGAAAGAATTTTAAAGACTTTTTAAAAAATAATTAAAGCCAAAGTAGTTGCTGCCAGATTCACAGTGACTTGGAACAGTGCTCTGTGTTAACCATAGAAG